AGGGCCAAAAGGATAGGCAGCCACATTAACAAACCTCCAAAGTCTCATGCGTACTGTGTCACTCCGAAGTGGTGGTAATCGATCTCCTACTCACAGTAGTGGATCCCACTGACAAGTTCCGCTTCTTTTTCTCATCACTTGAATCACCAGTGTCAAAACCTGAGTCATCCTGATCACCACTTCCTGGTGACATTATATGACTGTTCTTACTTTCTGCGGTGTGCTTTGTGAGAGGAAGACAGAACTGGGTACTTGACAGGTCTGGTTTGTAGACTGTGCATGGATGATGATTGACTGTCTCCAATATGCACTTCATAAGGCTGTCAAAGAAGTTTGGGTGGCCATCATAACCTGGATATGCATTGATATCTATGATGCCATATCGCCCGCTGCCATTTTCAATAATCACATCAATTCCCAATAATGACATCCCAAGCTCCTTCCTTAATGTGCAGACAATTCGTTGTAGTTTTGCAGGATCAGGGCGAGAAGGCAATATCATCTTGTCACTCGGATCCAGAATACTTAGACTGGATGTAGAATCTGCTTTGGAAACATCATGACTATCAAAGAAGATTGTCTCACGGTCACTTGGATAGAAGTTCTTCAGTGATGGCCTATCTACAACAAAATATTCCTCTCCAACCAGATATATTTTGTATAAGATGATGAAACTCTGTGCGACACAGGGTGGACGGCAATCCTTCACCCCTTTCTCATTAAATATTACTGTCATCTTGTGGGCATTGCTGGATCCATGAGCAACTGAAGGCTTGCACACAAATGGAAAGTCCACACCAGCTAACCTTAAAGTTTTAAGGTTTTCTTTGCAATCACTTGATGTTAATTCCACAAATGAAGGCATAAAGACATCTGCTTTCTCAAGGTCACTGTTGTGTATAATACTGTAATATCTGTAGCGATCCAACAATTTGCGGACATTATCTAGTGGATCAATAATAGCCACTTCTGGATGATCATTAATGTATGACTCAACATGGGAGATCATAACACGGGCCTTGGGGTCTCCTTGATTTGTCAAGGCTATGATGTCTGTGAGCTTGTGCAAAATCACTGTGAATGGTCCCTGCCCTTCCAGTGGTTGATTCAAGTCCAGCTTAACTAAATCAAATCCATATTTCCTGCATACACTTCCAAATTCTGTCCAGTTAAGTTTTTGGCTCTTCTTTTCAGACATCCAATAACCAATCACTTTGGATGGCTTGCTTTCTGTCATTTTTGAATTCTTCTTGTGGTACTTCTTACTTGTCTGACTGCTGTACTTATCCGTAGGCCACTAACTAGGCTTAGCCTACAAGATAACAGAAAAACTTCACCAATGCTGGCTGCCACGCTGTGCTCCTGGGTTCTATTTACGTTGTACTGAACATCTGATTTCAAACTTCACACTTCAAAATTCGTAGAATGTGACTATATTTCCCATCTTCAAGGAAACCTGACAAAGTGAGAGGCCTTTTACTTTCGTGTACATACTCACGTGAATGAACTAGTTTTGCGATATTTATATTCTGCACTTCATTCGTATGATCAAAATGGAACGGAGAGTATTCTACATTAGACTTTTCGTGGTTATAATAGATGGACGGATGGACGGATGGACGGATGGACGGATGGACGGACGGACGGATGGACGGACGGAAGGATGGACGGACGGAAGGAAGGACGGACGGACGGATGGACGGAGGGACGGACGGACGGACGGACGGACGGATGGATTGGATGGATGGATTGGATGGATGGATGGATGGATGGATGGATGGATGGATGGATGGATGGATGGATGGATGGATGGATAGATAGATAGACAGTCCGTGTTGTGGCAAGAGAAAAGAGGAATGCATTGACTGCGACCTTGTGCCCCCGCCTCACTTTATAGAGCCAGAAACCTGAGGAGACAGGGCGCACGTACTAGAACACGCATTTCGTTAAGTGCAGACCTGTACACGTCAAGAATGTTTCAACTTTCAGTTGACATGCGTATAAACCTTGGGGCCGCCAACGAGGTGATGAGCGAAACATGCAATACATATGGACAGAAGAGAAAGGAGTGTAAGTGCGTACCGTTGCCCTGAACACCGAAAGGGAAGAGGCCATTTCGAAGATCCGGGTGTAGAGGGGATTATATTGCACCATGCTTAGCATTGGTCGTCAAAAAGTAGGACGTGTTGGTGTGCCCTGGATTCAACTGGCTCAGTGTTGGGTTAAACATTACTCGCTTCTGAACACGAGAAATTGGTAACCTGCAGGTTCCATAAAACGGTATGGACATTTCATTACTGCCTGAGAGACTGTAAGCTTCTCAAGAATCATTCTTTTCCATGAAGTTGGTCAAATACTAGCTAGGTTTCCTCCTTAAAAAGGGAAGAAACAAACGTTCCACTATTGTCGACCCAGCAAGTACAAGTGAGATCGGAACAGCTCGGTCGGTATTGCAGCCGCTGCACGGCCGAGGAATTGGCGACTGCAGATTCTTTCCTTCTCGACGTCGTCCAGACCCACTCTGGGGTCCACACGGGCTCCTGATACATTGGTACCGGTGGCTCTTTCCCGGGAGGGGAAGTGTGACACTGACTATTCGCCTCTTAGAGCCGAGTTTATGAATATGTGGATCTATACCTCCACTCCACCAAACGCCTCTCGCATGGCGCTTAAATAATTAAGCATAGAGACAATTTTACTTTATGTTGACAAATGTTAAGATAAATGTTATATACAAATTTATTCTAGACTGCGCATGCCAAATTTAATTTAAATTCACAATATTCTAAATGAGGGGGTACGCGGTAGAGTAGTTGATTGAGACACTATGCTACAAGGCGGCAGATCGCGTGTTCGATTTTCGATGAGGTCACTGGATTTTTCAATTTACCTAATACTTCCAGCCGCACTATGACCCTGTGTTTGACTCAGTCACTAACAGAAATGAGTACCACGAATTTTGCTAGGGGGTAAAGGGCAGCCGACGCGTAAGGCTGACAACCTTGCCGCCATCTGTGAGCCGATTGATTAGAAGTGTCGACGCCTCACAGCCCTATGGGCCTTCACAGCTGCTTACGGGGACAGCTTTACGTTCCTAATGTTCTAAATGAAACATGCGGACGACAGAGAGACGGTGACCTCCACATCTCGCACCGACTTTAGGCACTTCCAGCAAAGAATATACAAAGTACAGTTCTTCGTCTGCACGATGCATGTTTGAGAACAGCTAGTGACACTGCAGACAACGCATATGGAAACTCCTCCCTTGCCTTCGAGGTCATATTAACAAAATACCTAGCATATCTCCGTGTTGCACGAACTCAGTCTTGCATGTGGTTAGGAATAGCTCAGGGACTGCTGTTCGAGACTTCGTCGGCATTTCCAGACTGGCTCTGGAGTCCATCCAGCTCAGACCTCCGGAACTGCAGAGCTGACACTCGTCACCCTTTAGCGGCAATGTCTCCCGTTAGGACGCATTCGTGGAATGGCACGAGGGAAAGTCATTAAGAAAGAAAGAACGTAAAACATGAAATACTCGAACCTGGAAAAACCATTTGTTTCTCGACACATTCTCCACCAACAATTCTAATCTTGTCCCGTCGCTACACTGCTTATCGTTATCCTCCTGTAACCTCGAACCACATCTTCCACCCGCTACACAGCTGCTTCTGTCACAGTCTCAACAGAGCTACTTTGTCGAGCATCATCTGAGACTTTCGAACGTCCTTGAGAGAATTTAAGTACACAGGTGAGAACCCCTTTACGCGACAAATATTTCTCACCGTAAACATGAAGATTTTCTTTATGAATACCCTTTGCATTCAGTCCGTTTGTCCATAAAAGGATGACAGAAACTGTTCTTCGTAAGTACACCCCGAAGCACGGTCGCCATTTTGACTATTGAAACCAACCTCTGAATGCGAGCATGCGCGTCTGCTACCTAGATTTTCATGAAGTTGGACTGTGCTGCTATCTATTGATACACGTACAAAACCTATTACATATATTACAGCTGTTTAACTTACATTTGTGACCTCATCACTGAAGCCAAATTACGAGGTTAGACAATAAAGTTCGCGAACTCGCCGTGGTAGCAGTGGACAGAAACCTCAGTATGGTTTGATGACGTTGGCATGCAAGTTTATTATTTTGAAGTACTGAAAAATTAGAAGAAAACGACCCGAAATTTTTCCAGAAACTCATGGATCTTGCATCCCGACAATGCACCTGCTCACACGGCACTGTCTGTGAGGGAGTTTTTACCTAGTAAGCAATTAACTGTGCTGGAACACCCTCCATATCCACCGAATCCAGCCCCCAATAACTTTTTCTGTTCCTGAAGATAAAGGAAATAATGAAAAGACGCAATTTTTATGACATTGCTGACAGCAGCTCTGAAGGCCATTTCACAAAACTATTTCCAAAATTGTTTTGAAGGGTGGACTAGGCACTGGCATCGGTGCATAGCTTCCAAAGGGGAGTACTTTGAAGGCGACCACTCAGCAATGAGGTATGTAGCAGTTTTACAGTGATGAGTTCACGAACTTTATTGTCAGACCACGTACGACATCAGCGTCGGTCTCGAGTTTTACTTGTATATGGTTTCAGCTTCCCCATTATATTCTGCAGGGCTGAGCTTACACCTGCTTCCCTAACGCGTGCCTTGGTACAGGAAATCACTCTAAGCAGAGTCTACTTGTTGTTGTTAAGACAGAAAGATCGAGAGAGCTGGCAGAAAATGTAAAGTCCCTGACTTACATTTAAGAGATGCCCAGTTATAATCTTGGCCATGGCACTGAATATCCTGAGGCCCTTTGTAGTTTTTCTCAGTCCCTCCAAACAAACACTGGCATAGTACCTAAAAATAAGAAAAGACGGCTTCATTTCACATCCTTCCCAATTCATTGTTTACTATTATTGACTTATTTGATGTTACATAATTGAGACACTGAAAGCATAGTTAAATAAACACTAAAAAAAACTTCGTGGCTTGAGTCCTCAAGCGAACCATACCGACCGAGCGACCGCCGCTTGTCGGCGAAGTTAGTGCCAACTTTAGCGGATAGAGGTTGTCACGTGGCCAGCGCAACGGATCCCCACGGTCATTAATTTCGGTTTTATAGACCGGAACTGCTATTTTCTTTAAATAGCTCCTCAGTTATCCTCATGAGGCTAAATGGACCCCGTTCCAGACCCTCTACTTCTCGGAAAATCTGGTAGCGCCGGGAATCGAACTCGGAACCTCTGGATCTGTAAGGAGAAACTCTGACCACTAGACCACAGAGCGGTCTGAACAAATACTACAAACATATAAATAAGAAAATAGAATTGTAACAAAGGCCCATCATGTTATAGTGCACACGTTTAGACACCCTGTTTACTTTTCATGAACGCACAGACGAGCAACTGCTTTCGGGTGAATATGCGTCATTTCTGGTGTATTACGTAACCCATGTCAAGACAGTGAAGGCGAGAAAGAAATGTAGGTCACTTTTACTTGTAGGGATCTGAAAATCCATAGCGCCCCCCTGTCTCCATTTTATTCCTCTGCTCTGACATCTCCCGTCCTTTCTTTTACTTCCATCCCTTTTTTCCTTCCTCTTCTTTTACTTTCTCTCTCTATTTTATCTTTTTCTATATTATTTTCACTCGCGTAAAGATAAGGAAAGATTGAAAAATAAATGGTCGGAACTCTGCGGGGAAGAAGAACGAAAGGGCAAAACTTTCCCGTCTTGCTGGATAAATATGGCGTCCCAGTGCGTCGGGACGGAGAAGGGGGTGAACTTTCTTGGATGATGCCTCCTCTACTGTATAATCGTTACCAAAATGCTCTACACACATACGAAATATCTTCCACCTTCTTCTAAACGACCTTCCTTTGTTACAAGTTACCATTTAATTACCGGTAATGTAAGATATTATTCTAGACAGTGCATATTGCCTGTATGATAGTCATGCATATGATGTTTCGGCACTTTCATTCGTTTCCATCATCAGGTGCAAAGAGTCCTGTTAGAAATGTCCAGTCTTAAACTAGTGATATAGACTATATTTTTCCTGTAATAAGTTCAACTGAGTGGGATCCATCCCTTCCTTTCACCTGATGACAGCAACGGATACATTTGCCGAAACATTTTGTGTATAAAACCCGTCTAAATCAATGGATAATGTCCAGTAGCTTCCGTCGCTACTATCTTTCGTAATTGCCCTCAACTGAAGTCTGCACTCAGAACTGAAAAACTGTTATATTTGTAATTGTTGTTACATAGCATTCGCACCGACCACACAGAAAACACAGTCCTGTTGTTGCATAAGGAAAACCACAAAGAAAACGAGTCACGTGACAGATACCTCGCCAGTCCCTTGGCGAGCTGCCTGTTGCCTAGCAACGATCTAGAAACATTCATTCTATTGTTGAGTGCGCTTAAACGAGGTGTTTATCGCGCCACTGCCTATCTATACACGTTACAGTATGAGGAATCATGGGCCGCGCCATAGCTCAAGCGGTTAGTCGCTGGCTTTCCACCGCGGCGGCCCGGGTTCGATCCCGGGTCTGGTCTAGTGGGATTTGAGGTAGACAAAGTGGCGTTGGGGTAGGTTTTCTCCGAGTACTTCAGTTT